TGTTTATTGCTACGTATTCAGATTACAGCATCTAGATTATTTATCAGGATACAACAGATAGTTTTGGGTGATTGAAACAAGGAAATAAATAGCCTTTAAGCTTACATGACTAAGAAGATTAAGCTGATGCTCAGAGTCATGAAAATTGCGATTCTTTTTCCCACTGATTATCTCCATTACCATCACACAAAAGCTAAATACATCAGATTTGATTGAGAAATGTCCATGGAGAGCATATTCAGGAGGCATATAACCACTGGGACACAAGCATGAAAGAAAATTTTGATGTCAAACTGGGTTGTAACATAGTAAAAATACATGACTTTTACTACTTACTATGTTCCCATCACTCTATTTGTATTTGCCTCAGCTTGATCTCCACCAAATGTTCTAGCCAAACCAAAATCCGATATCTTTGGATTCATATCGTTGTCTAGAAGAATATTGCTGGCTTTGAGATCTCTGTGGATGATTCTCAATCTAGAGTCTTGGTGAAGATAGAGTAGCCCTCGTGCTATACCATCAATAATTTGAAGGCGCTTTGTCAAACCCAGTTGTTTACTTTGCGTTGAATCTAACAAAATTTCACTTTTTAAATCAGTGTAAGAAGAACTACACAATAGCAAGACAGAGCAAAATGAAGAGCCATAGTTTTCAAGGTGTGAGATTTCAGACCAAAAATGAAGTAATCCAAGCTTCTGTTGGGCATGTATTCATAGATCAAAAGCCTTTCTTCTTGGTGAATAGAACAACCGTGAAGTTTTACAAGATTGCGATGTTGAAGTTTTGCCATTAACATGACTTCATTCTTGAATTGCTCTGCTCCTTGTTCAGAAGTTTTTGCAAGCCTCTTCACTGCAATATCTTGCCCATCTTTCAGTATACCCTGAGAGTAATTTTGAAACTTTGGTGAAGAGAAATTATTTATGCCATTAACAAGGCTTCTTTGATGTGAAATTTAACTACCTTGTACACTGGCCCGAAGCCACCTTCTCCTAATATGTTACTGGGTGAAAAGTTATTGGTAGCAGCAGAGATGGTTGAAAAATCAAATATTTTTGATAGCTCCACATCTTCCTTCTCCCTTTTGAACTTCCAATGAAATATTTTTAGCACCTCTGAAAACAATGGTAGGAAATACCAATATGGCATGGTTCACAGCTTAATTTAGCAAACAAAATAAAGGATAATAAGAAGAACATGAATCAGACTTTAGAATTGAACACTTCTCTTCATTCTAATAATTTTATTGCATTCTGATATTTGATTGTATCATAAAGAGTCAAATTTAGTTTTCCATAAACTCACCACTCTTCGCCAGCTTCTTCCTCTTCATATATGTGAATGTGGCCAATCCAAGCACCACGACCAAGAAAACAATACCTACTATTATCCCTGTGATATTCTTGCTATTGAAGCTCTGATTACTCCCTCCATGATCTGAGGAATAAACTGTATAAAGATTTCAGTTTAAGAGAAACATAAAAGGAAAGCAAAAAAAGCGACATGTTTAGATTTCACTTCAATTAGGAACGTATATTACTTTCTGCAATATTTTGACCGAAACTCAAAAGATGATAATATAAGAAATGAAAATACCTAACTCTGAAGCTTCAAGTCTCATGTAAATATCTTGTCCTTGGTCTGTGTGTCTGCTCAAATCAGTAATGTCACCAAACCAAAGCAAGCACCCTCTCCCACTGGCATTTATATTTGCAAATGCTGTGCAAGAACAGTCTTTCAAACACAAATCCTCACACTTCTCGAGGCTCAAACTGTCGTTATACCAAGAAGAAGAAGTGTCTGGAAACTTCATTCCAGTGTACTTCCGAAACCTATCACCATCACAACTCAAATTTACTCTTCTGACACACCCACCAGACCAATCCAGTGAACTCCATCTCTCATAGAACTTTGGTACAAAGCCTTCTAAACATGTACATATTTTTGGAGAGTTAGTAACATTACACAGTGAATTCACATCACAAAAGGAATAATAGTCACACTGATCCATGGGACGAGTGGATAAAATCTCCCAACCCCGGCTGCCACCCGACCATAACAAACGTTGCACAAGACCAGCTGGGTTGATCACTAACCTTGTAATAGTTTCAGCCTCTAAGGTCTTATATTGGTAAATGACTTCCTTGCCGTTACTCTCAAGCGAAAACTTTACGAGTCTAAGCGTTCTTCTCCATGAAACTCCACTGAAAACATTGCCGTTCCATGGCCCTCCTCTACTGAACAAAAGTTCTCCCTTTGTAGTAACCAGTTGAGGATAGCCATGAGCATCTATGTGATATGAAAACTCACCAGAGCCAGGATCTTCTGCGTTTCTCCAAGATGTGAGAAACCTAAAAGGACCAGTCACAAAGTTTGTACGAAGTTTCATTCCTGCAAGGAAAGTGTCACCAGGGTAATCAAAACTTTCCCACAAAAGGTCTTTTGTGCTGTCTCCATCTTGCACAACAAGATTTCCCGAGTCTAGAAGCTGCATAACTGGTTTCTTAGCGGTTCTTGATGAATTGGAGGTCCACACAACACTTCCTGAGGCATCAAGAATAACAGGAACTCCTTGTTCTGTTAGTGTGAAAAAGGCTGTTGAGTTTTTCACTGGGGCATCTCTGTTGGCCACCCACACAATAGTCTTTGGTGATATGTTCTTGTACCATATACAAAAGTATTGATCTTGTGAATTTCCAAACTGAAAGAATCCAGCTTCAAAAGTTCCAGCAGAAGAAACCATGGTCGTGTTGCCTTGGATTGATTCATTTGGAGTGAGAGTAAGGGTGCCTTGTATAGATAATAGGAACGTGGAGAAGATGCAGAAAAATAAAACGCGTAACATTGTTAACTTGTTGTGTTTATGATGGTTTTCCATGGTTACAAACCTCCATAGTTCATTTAACTAAAATCACTGGAAGAAAATGGTTGTCCAAGTCCCTAAGACGTGCCTTTTGTGTTGAAAAGTCTTCAGAATAACATTGAAGCTGCATTTTTAGACCAATATCACATAACAAATTAAGAAATTGTCTATTGTTGAATTTTTTACACACCATTTCAATTGAAAGAAAAATAGTTTTACTCTGTACAAAAATCTTACAATGGTTTTAATTTCTGAGGGAAAAGCGATAAATGCACACAAAACACTTGCATAATATAGTCGTGTGAAATATCCAACACGTGAGGATTCACTTTCGGATAAGAAAGTCTCAGTGCAAGTTGAGACATGAATGAAAAGGGGGACCAAACAATGCAGTTAACAATAGGACCCTCTGCTTTATGATATTTTTAACAACTACTGAACAGGTTCATTTGATGTCCAACTAATAGAGTTGACTTTCATATTCCATTCAAAGATGAAACACTAGAAATTAAATGAAATTAGATGTAAACATGTTGCGGTTGAAAATAATTCAAGTTAATTCTCATATTTTGTAAAAATTAATGTTTGTATTTTACAAAAGAAAAATTCATAAATCCTTTGCATGTTTTCTGCACCTGATCATACTGCTAACAGCATTCGGAACTTGTGGCACAAAAGGCTTGGCCATCCTTCTGATAAAAGATTAGGAGTTTTAAAACATAAACATGATTGTATTGCTTTAAGCAAAAGAAGCTACCTTTCTCGAACAGTGATTCTCATGGTAATAAAACTTTTGATCTGATACATATTGATATTTGGGGAACATCCCCTTCTCCCTCTTTGCATGGTCATAGGTATTTTTTGACTATTGCAGATGATTGTAACAGGTTTACATGGGTTTATCTCATTACAAATAAGTCTAAAACTAGAGATCACATTATACATTTTTGTTTCGTATGTTGAAACTCAATTTGAAGACAAAATAAAGGTGATTAGGAGCGATAATGGATATGAGTTTAACATGGTTAGTTTCTTTAATTCTAAGGGCCTAATTCATCACACTACATGTGTTGAAACTCTAGAGCAGAATGGAATAGCAGAAAGGAAACATCAGCACGTTTTGAATGTTACTAGATCTTTGATTTTTCAATCCAAACTCTCAAACCAGTTTTGGTCATATGCCTTATTACATGCTGTCTTGTACTACTGTTGTTAATGCACCTAATGAATCTTATATTGATGATGCCAATGCTTCTGCTAATGATAATGATGTACTCAGTGATAATGCTAAAAGGAAATCTTTTAGAATTAGAAATCTGCCTCTATATCTCCAAGATCATCACGTTAATACTGCTGAAACTCACAGAAACGTAAGATATCACAACGAAAATACACTCCTGATTACTGACGGCTTGGCAGGGCTGTTCTCTAAGCTCAATACCAAGCTTGGCAGTCAAAATATTTACGGACCGCTTGAGGGCGGTCTTAGAATATACATTCATACGTGACTGCATAAGTTTGAATGCACGTGTGCTCTCTTTATTTCAACTATTTATAGCTTTGAATCTCTTTTTGTTAAGCAAGCCTTTTTCATTCCTTTGTAAAACCTTGTTCCATTCAATCAATAAATACGTATATTATTTCTATAGCCAAACTCTTTGAATAAAATAATTAATTTAATACTTAGAACAATATGTTAAATATTTTAAAATTTTAAAAACAACACTATTTGTACAACAAACTGAAAATTACAGTTAATGCTGTCAATCTTTCCTCTGTAGATTATTTATTACATCCCATAATAATAAACATGGGCAAAAAAAACCATTGTATAAATTGTTACATGTATCATTTCATATATTTGCCATTAAAAAATAAAGTAGAATGTCCCTAACTACAAGTGATTTACTCACAGATTTGCTTTTGGTACCGTTCTAAAAAGTCTCTTACTAAGGAATGTATCTTATATGTATATAAATCCATGTGTATTTCATATTTTATGTGATGTGGAACTTTGTTTGTACCCAACAAAAATAACATCTTTTCAATAAATGAACAAACTTACACACAAGCACTTGTGCTAATAAGTTGTTGGAGATATCTTAATCCTTGAATAATGAACAGAAAAAGTTCTCTATCGTGGCTGTAACAAGGACATTGTAACTTCGTTTTGTGATCTATCTCCACAACTTCTCGAAGAAGATTCTGCCTGAATGGGAAACTGAGTTGTTCCTGTGTAGAACCCAGGTGGACTTGGCTCAGGCAATACCTTTTCACCATTCAACATCAAAACCACAGAGGACATGTTTGGTCTGTTTTGTGGTGTTTGTTGCACACATAATAGACCCACATGAATGCATCTAAGTACTTCAAGTGGTGTGGTTGGATAATCTAATACCTCATCTATTAGCTCCACTGGCTTTTCTTCAATCCACAATCTCCATGCCTGAAATGGAATGAAAACCAACAAGTCAAAGTCAATGCCTATTCAATTTTTTCA